AACAGTTAGTGTCTTAATAGGTATTAACATGTAGTAGGAGCTCATATTAGCTAGTCTTAATAGTCTTTTAAATGACAGCATTTCGGAGAGTCCTAACAGGTAGCAGGAGCTCAGTGGCTGAGTACTCTGAGGACTCAGCCACGCCCTCAGGAAGTCTTCTACCTGTTGAGGAGGCAAGCCCATAAATAGAGTACAACCCTTTGCCATGTATGAAGGACAGAGCGGTTGCCGGTTGGGTAGGGATTTCGCTCTGATTCCCTCTGCACATCACATGATGCTCTCATCTGCCCCGGGATGTTGTTTCACGGTCGGGGCCCTCATTTCTATTTGCTGGCAACTGTATTCTTTCCTAGTGTGACTGCTTAAAATTGAGTGCAGAATCTCTACCTGCTGTATTGCTAAGGAAGCTTTATTTCATCATTTCCACAAAGCGACTTCTGCCACTTTTATTCTCTGTGGGATTGGTGTCTCGATTCTTTTTTTTTTTTTTTTTTAAAGATTTTATTTATTTGAGAGAGAGAGAATGAGAGATAGAGAGCACGAGAGGGAAGAGGGTCAGAGGGAGAAGCAGACTCCCTGCCGGGACTCGATCCCGGGACTCCAGGATCATGACCTGAGCCGAAGGCAGTCGCTTAACCAACTGAGCCACCCAGGCGCCCGGTGTCTCGATTCTTAAGGTGCTTGCAACATGCTGTCTCCTCTCAGAGAGCTCTTTGTTCTTTGGACCACTGCCCTGTGTTGCCCATTTGTATTCTTTTTCTGCTAGCCTTGTTGCCAGTAGGATGTGTGGGGTATTTTTAATTCTTTCCCTTCTGTTAGAAAGAGCCATTTCCTATTTGGGGTTGGAAGATAGATGTCTTTATACTTAGACCACTTGAGGGCTGAAGCTGAGAGTTTCCTTTAAAATCATCACAAGCTCCAAATCATGGGGGCAACTTATCCTCATCTGCAAAATCTATGAAGCTGTCATCAGAAATTTGGCTTTGCCGTTTTCCAACACAGTTCTTCTCTAAATTGGAGTTTCCCAACTTGAGCACTGTTGACCTGGATAATTCTTTGTTTTGGGGGCCGTCCTGGCATTCAGCAGCCTCTTTGGCCTCAACCCCTAAATGCCTGTAGAAATTGCCCAATTTTAACAACCGAAAAATGTCTGCATTTTTGCCTGATGTCCCCGTTGGAGGGCCAGCTCACCCCAGGTCAAGAACTACTCTCAATAATAAACATGTGAAAGTAGGTTGACAAATAAATTATAAAATGTGTTGATAAGCAAACACATTCATGATAAGGACAACAAACAGCTGCAGAGCACTTAATGTGGGCGAGGTGCTAAGAGCTCTTTTCAAAATATAAATAGCCTCATCGAGTGAGGTACCATTGTACCATAATTACCCACACTTTATAGATGGGGAAACTGAGGCTCAGGGAGGTCACACACCTGCCAGCTGTCTGATTAAGAATCTGAGCCCAAGCAGTGTGACCCCCTGGAGTCCATGACTTGAACTTACTGGGCTGCTCTTTCTACAAAAAGTTACTGGATTAGATATCTACCTGGCATAGCATGGGATGTTACCTTTGGTAGGTGCTTAGTAAATATTTAAGTGAATAAATGAGTAGCTATCAATCCAGGAAATTACTTAATATTTTAAATCAGTATTGAATAGATTCCTTACTTTAGTTCATATAAATTTTAAAAATGTACTTTTGTTTGAATACAGTCAACTAAATATCATGCATTAGAGCAAAGCAGAGGTTCTCTTAGCATTTCTAAGCTCATTCACAGGTTTGTCAAGGTAACCTCTAAAGCTTGTGTGCTAGTGCAATTTTGTAGTATGTCAGAACGAAGACTGGTCAAATTCCTGATGAAATTAAGCAAAGCATTTCCCTGCGTCCCATAATAAGGAAAGAAAATTCCTCCTCCTTCCTAAACTAGGTATGCATTCTGATGCACTATTTGATAGTTTGACCTAGCTTTGGATCTTATTAAAAATTGAACATCTTTAACTAACAGGAAAGCACTTTAGCCGATCAATCTTTAGCTTTCCATAGTTGGCTTCCTATAATAGGTAAGAGGGCCGCGATATAAAGTTTGTTATAAATGCATTACATCTGATTTATATGTAAGTGAGAAGCCTGTATTTTATATGATAAAATATAAAAACATATTTTTTGTGTTAAAAACTTTTTTGATATGTACTTCTGTAAGGCCAAAGAATGGAAACTTCTAGAATGTTAATTAAAATAATAAAATATAACCATAAAATAGCAAGAAGACAACTTGATCACAATAGCTTCATCTTGTTGGTTCTCTTAAAACCCCTATTATGAAGTATAAGAATTTTACTCAATGAGACCATAAGTAATATATTTTCTTGTTTAGATGATCTTTTAAGAAATTTGAGTGGCTTCTTTTGTTCCCTTAATTCTGAGAAGTCTGTTATTGTAAGGACAATATTAGAAAATATCTCGTGTCAATTTTCTTGGAAAAACATCTCTCAGATAACATGTGATAAAAAGCATAACAGTACCAATACATTTTATCTTTTTCAGTGATAGTAAGGGATATTTTTGTGTCTTGATCTAGGGTGTTTGCTTATAGCACTAGATTTCATGATTTCTATAATGACTACTTACCACATAGTAAGTAATCTGTAATTTACCTCGCACGCAGTCTTGACAGAGCATTACTTTGCTATTAGCAATTAGAGTGGGTCCTCCTGCTACCTCAATTAATTTATGGGTTACTCTACATACCTGGATATAAAGTAGCTGATTTCTAGGGGAATAGAAGATCATTCGGGCATTCTTTATAAACTTGGAATTTTGGAAAACTGAAGAAAACAAAACTAAGCAAAATAGCACTCCTCAGAAAATAGAAAGTGACTTTTTTAAGGTTTGGAGTTGTTCTCCCAGTTGATGGCCAGAATCTGGCTTCCCCCACTTCAAGCTCTGAATTGCCAAAAACAATTCTACCTACAAGAGTTAGGCTTATTATGTTTTATGAAGTAGCCTTCAGAAAAGAGCGTCATTGACAATTATATAGAGCTAGCAGAGAGCTAAGCTTTCATTAGCACATAAATACCATTCAGTTTACTTGAAGGTCAAAATGAAGACCAGTCCAGAACACATTTTTCCATGACCTGGAGTTTTTTTTTTTTTTTTTTTTTTAAGTTGCCAACATGAGTAGAAAGTCAATAATCCTGATTCTAAGAGTATCTTTCCCTTTAAAATGGTTATATCACCAAGTAGTTTATTCTTCCACAAAAATCTGGCCCATGTATATTGCCCCCTCTTATCAGATTAATACTATATGCAATCTGTATTTAATGTCTTGAACCGTTTACAAGATGCTGAAAGGCACAGCTATTATTTCATGTTGTATCTACTTTACAAAAGTGGGGAAAGATTGTAGCTAAAGGGCCGCTCCTTCCAGCAGGCCTCTAAATGGCTGTAGATGTTACCTTAGATTTCATGGTTATGATAATGAGCTTGTTATAATGGAGAGACACTGAGATTCAATCTCGCTACAGATTAAGGAAGAACGAAAGGAGGAATCCCTATATGTATTCCTCAGTCACTGAATCCGAGAACATAAGATCTGAGAGATGTTTAAGTAATGAAGGGAACCAAATCTGGAAGATAGGACTCATTTGTAAAACAAAACAAAACGGCAGTTACTTTTTAACGATCATCTCAATAATAGAACTATGCACATTGTGGGGAGAGGTGGATTTTGGGCCATAAACCATATTATAAATTATTAGATAGAATTCTTTTGATGGGAAGAAATTAGACACTGACACATGAGATGATCACTGAAAGAGCCATGTTCAAATCTGTGTTGCTTACAATGAAATGATCATCATAATCCAGATATATAATTTTCTCTGTTATATGTGAGGAATACGTGTGGCTGACTTATTTAATAGGTAACTGGTTCCACTGATTCCATAGATTCAGAAGAGAGATTTGCCAGTACCAACTGCTGGTCATTACTCTTTTTTCATTGTTCAACCTCCAAACATTGGAGAAGAGTGAAAATTAGACCAGTGCTATTAACACAGTACATGCTTCTAGGAAAAGAGATCAGTGGGAACTGAAGAATTATGTTGTCATTTTTTAGCATCCTAAAATTATACATTCAGACACTGGAATTTGGGGACTATTTGGTGAATTTTCTATGTTTAAAAAAAATGCTTATTCCTTAGGACATAGCACACCTAGATAAGGGTCTTAGTGAACGTTGTCAGGGGGAGGAAATTGTTCAAGTGAGTTCATTTTGCTTTTGATAATTTTAATAAAATTATGCTGTTTAGTCATAGAAAAAACCTGAAAATTAGGGGAAAATTTTTATTTATCTGCTATCTCTAGTTCTAACCAGTATAGAAATTTGGAGATTAACTGATTAATAGAAATTTTGATAACGATGTATACGTCCCATGTAAAATAGTTATTTTAATGCAGCGATGACCTCTTAGCTAGTTACATACTCTTCAATGTGCACAAATGTTGCTGAGAATTTGATAAAGTGCCAGTTTTTCTAAGTATTACTGAATATATGTACCCACCTTGTGTTTCTTAACAAAAGAGCATAGTGCTCCTAATTGCATTTTGAATAATTTCTGTTAAGTTCTGAAGTTACACAGTTTTAAACACTAGGAAGACTTAACAGTTAATTCTCTGTTTCTCACAAGTAAAACCAACAAGACAAAGTTGTCTAAGTAGCTTCAGTGTTTTTCTTTTTTGTTTTTTTTGGATTTTTGGCATTATCATGTACCTCTTTTCGATAGCTTAAGAGTCAAAACCTTTTTTAAAAAATCAGTATTAGCTCTAATAGGACTTTGTTTTTATTTTAATTTTTCCCCTAATTCGAGGTGCATGTTACAGCTTGCCATTGTGGTCATTGTGGTTCATTTCATTAAGCTTCTTGTTCTATCTGCTTTCTTGAGACTTGGGAAAGAGTATTTTTCTGAGTGATTGTACTATATTGTTCCAAATATAAGGCCACCCAGAATAGAAGGCAACCTCCAACTAGAAACAGCTCAAATATGGAGAAAGGCTGGGGTCCCAGAGCCCGGCGGGTCTTGCAGTGGTGGCAAGGGTGCCGAGGAATAGGACGATGCCTGCCCACTCTCCCGGTGAGTGAAGATGAGTCAGCTGCTGCATTTGCTTGTGCATACAGATGGCTTTTGTTGCTAGAGGAAAAGTTACACTGGGCGGGGTGGGGGGAGAGAGTAAATCTGTACACATGAAAGAAAGTTGCTGTGTGTGTCTGAATCTGGGGAGGGAAGCTGGGAGTAGAGTCGTTCATCTCCTAATCGGTCAGCATCAGTGTTATTTTTTTTTTTTTTCTGAACTTGGGGTTGAAAGTTGAATAACCGCAAGCACTGGAGAAGAACAAAGGTACCCTGCACCTTCCATGAAAAGGAGTTTAAAAGGTCCATGGCCGTGAAAATGAATCGTCTGTAGACCAGCCCAGAAAACTATTCCTTGCCCTTTAAAAGTGCTCGCTGACCCAAGAGGTGATGTGTGCACTATGCAATCACGTGTCATTTGGAAACAAGCAACCCGGAAGTTGGGAGTCACATTTCCAATTTTATTAAGATTTTCTTTTTAAATTCCCTGTCTCCTGAGCCAGCCAAGTTACAGTTTAAACAGGCTTAATGTTATTGTAATAAATTGCAAGGGACTGTTTAAAATCAGTTGTTTCACTAGCATTTCACTCAGCATATTTTAAAAATAGTTACGTGAAAATGTATTAGTCAACTGAGAGTAGTAGATAATTCTCCAGATATCAGTCACAAAGATATATAGCCTTTTATTTTAGAGTAATTAAATGGGATGTGATAGAATGAAGTGCTTGATTGTGTTATAATCTAGAAAGCGACGGAGCACTCATTGGTGTACAACTTTACCAGGCATTTGCTTACCTCTATGACTTTACAATAACCACGTGAAATATGAACCTTGATCTTTCCAGTGACCTAGTCCTTGGCTTACCAAGAAGACTTGAAGTAGAACTTTAATCCTTGAATGAGTTTTCTCCACTGTGCAGTTCCGACTTTAGCTACTGTTATTATTAAAAAAATAAAAGAGTGTTTAAGGGAAGAACAGGACTCTCCTCAAGTTTAAACAATGCCAACTTACCCAAAGGATTTGGTTTAGGGAAACCAGTTATTAATTTTAGAAATTCTTCTAAATCTAAATGCCCTGAAAGATCGAAGGCCCCATGCCCAAGCAAAAGCATGCTAGAATTGATATGCCTGTCATTTTGCCAGTTTGGGAAGGGAACATTTGAAACAGAAGGGCTGGGCAGCAGAAGGTTGGAAAGGAAGAGTTGAAAGGAGGGATAGCCAAGAATTACGGCCTGCCCAGTGGGATTACCAGGCAGAGAGCCGACTGCTTTGCGTTGCTGGGTCCTAAATGAGAAGTTTGCAGTGAACTCCGCATCACCTCAGAGGCCTTTTCAAAACCATTCCTAAGGGTGGTAGCAGGTAGGGAAAGAGAATAGTAGGGGACCAGAGCTATTGAGACAAGAAGAGCTTCCTTTAGAACTCCTTCATTTTGGAAACATTTCATCTCTACAGAGTAAGAGGATGTCCAAAATCTGGCGGTGATGTTGAGGGGGGGGGGATGGTAGGCCCCTTCACCACCTTTAAGTTTCTAATAAGTTCCCTTCTATTATTTGTATCAGGCACTATTATGTCTGATTTGATCTGAATTACAAATACAGGAAAACATGGACATTTTTCCCCCAGAAGGTGTTGGGGCTATTATAATTGGCTTTCCTATGTCATTGCCTGCTATTAACATAATTATTAGTAGCAGTGGAGGACAGAGCTGGAGAGGTCCCCTAAATGTCCTATTCCACAGCTTCTTCTCCCTGGTGGCTAGTAAGGGTGGGGGCAGGGCCTGATTTGATTGCATAATTCTTTGAGCAAGGAAAAGAACATGGCTCCAGTTGGCTTGTGAGGTGGCAAGGATAGCCTTCAGGATGTAGGAAGAAAGGACAGTGACAAGGGAAGGGGGAAGATACTCCAAATTGCAAAAATGATAATCTTTGTAAAAATCAATGAGAATTGTCAATTTCTCTACAAATAGTATGGTCTGCATAAAACCCATACTTATAACTGTTGCTGCTCTCAGATTTTCCCTCCCATCCCAAAATGCACAACACAGAAGTTCTTCTGTAGGTGCTGGAAAATAAATGTCCCTAACCGCAGTTGTCTTCCATTTATGAAGCCATCTTCAGCGGCTCCTTCTCAGGGTATTAGAGTCATAAGATCAAGGTAAATGGAGCAGTTATTAATCTGTTAGGCATGAAGAAAATATGTAGACTTGTTGGACAGAAACTAAAATCAGGCCCTTCGAGTGTCATGATCTCCATAAAAACAGGTTTGGAAAATTCCCATTTGGCTGCTTTTTCTAGGAGGGTACATAACTGAAGTTTTCCTTTTTCCCAGTTTCTGTATGGGTGACTATGAGTCTCGTAGGCCCGGTTAAACATGCCCAAGTGCTGGTTTTTCAGCAATGAAGTCAAAGAGTCACTAAAGTACAAATATGTAATTTGTGGCCATAGTTATTTTTTAAAAAACCAAAAAATAATTCTTCCTGAAAGAAAATGCTGAGTTTGGGTAAATCTCTCTGCCTCCAAGAAGGGTTTTATAAGACACACCGTTTCTCCAATGCAAGAAGGTGATGTGTGCATATTTTCTGAGACTTATGGAATATAGCATTTGTCTTGCTGAGTGAGCATGTTTAACTCAGCTGCTGAGTAACTCACAAATTTCCTACTCTTGAGTATCTTTAATTAAAAATCATTCTTGAAATGTTCTTAATGGGCATTCCTGAGGGGCATTGTTCTCTTCGGCAAATCAGAAATGACATCTGGACATGCATAGAGATGGCTCTTGGTTAAGTGTTCTTGCTGGTCAAGCAGCAAGTGTATTCCAATTAACAGGTTGAGAGCATCTTAGGACAGGCTAGATAAAACTTAACAAAGCGGCTGATTCTCATTTGGCAGTGCAAATTGAATACTGAATGACATCTATGCAGTTATAAACGACTTTTGTTTTAATAACAAAGTTGTTGATTTTCTACTAAGGGTTCTTTTAGGTTGTCATCAGGGGCTGATGGGAGTAACAGTCCACCCAACTCTCCAGCTAGCTTCAGTGGACATACCACACCTTCTCAACAGCCTGAACCCGTGGTACATTCTCTTAAGGTAACCAACTGTGTCCAACCGTTTATCCAGATCTTCAGTTGTGTTGTGGCTTGTTCGCTATAGTCTGGTAGTCCTCACAGTCTTGTTTTAACCGTAGATACTATAATTTTTGAAGTATAATTTTTTTTTTTGAAACGAGTTTGAGTACTCTTGGTTGAAATCTCTAGTTTTATCATTTTGTTTTGAGTAATGTGATTCATATCAATCTGCATCGAAGTTGAAGTCTGATGTGCATGTATATCTATATGTGTAAACTCTCGTTCTGGGTATTTGATGTGCAGTGTCCGTAGCATGCATGTCTTCCAAAGAGGGAGGCAAGAGTTGGCCAAAATAAGGATACCCAATTTTCCTTTCTTCATGCAATTGAAGTACATGGTGCAATCAACTGAAAGAAAATCTTGAACTAAAAACTTCCTCTATTCCTCATTAAATAGAAATTAGGTCTTTAAACTCTAGTTAATGCTCTTCCATAGAATATTAGAAAATAGAGGGTCTTATTCAGAAAGCTAGTTTTATTTTTGGCTTTTACTTCAGATCCTCCAAGGACTTCAAAAAAGATTTAACTGAAATTTATTATTTTCTTTACCAATAGTGAGCTTTCCAATAAATAAGCACCATATGTAAAATTAAAAATATAAATATTATCTAAGAGAAGAAACTGATGCAGGCAATAAAAAAAATTAGGACGGTTCACTGAAATTTTATCAATTCCAGGGTATGAATCACTGTCCTTCAAATGATCTGTAATTCCTAACACATAGCCTTGATCAAACCTTTCTGATCCATAAAGTAGGCAGCGTGCTTCAGTCCCACACTTGCCATAGGAGTTTCACAGCCTCACTAAAATGTTTTTGGTTTTGGAATAATTTATCAGCAGCCTGGAGATGCACTCTTTTGGAGTGGGCCACACTTCCTTTGGCATGCATAAAGCAAATAAGCAGATACGAAATTCAAAATATGCATTTGATTTGGTTTTAGCAGGAGATTTAGCTCCTTCAGTCATATTTTGCTGTAACTTCCATGAAATGAGTTGCTCCTCCCTCCCTACCTCCCTCCTGCTTGCGGATGAGGGAAGGTAGCGAACCATGCGGATGGCCAGTGCAATCTTGTCTTGGTTGGAATAACTCACCAAGTGAGCAACCGAGAGGAATTCGCGTGGGAAGGCACACCAGAATGAGGGGTGCTGCCCTGTATCCGGGGGGTGCCGATTTATCAACTGACCACCATCTTGCTCTCTACAGTAGCATTTGGACGCAGTTTAGCGTGAGCAGCATGCTAAATGTGCTGTTACTTGAGCATGAACCAGACGCGAGCTATCTGAAAAGCATCCTAGAAATAAAAAATGAGTGGCTTCAATCCTGTAGTGTTGGCGTCTGCACATACTCCAGCAACGCATTGCTCTGCTTTTCGGATTGAAAACGGTTTCCACCTGTTGCCTTATTAAATGGCAGGTGTAGTTTGAATCAGATCAGCATAGTGGATAGCACTGCAATCTTTCCCCAATTTTTCACTGCACCTGTGTTCCTATGGCCTAAAAGGAAGGGAAGGGCAAGGGGGAGCTCTTCAATTTTCTCTGAATTTGTTCTCTAATTTTCATATAAAATTTTTATCTCAAGAGAGAACGATACTATGTTATAATCAACATGTTAAGTGTCCTCACTCAGCAGATGGGTAGTACTGAGCAACTGAAGCATAAGGGGAGGCTCTGGAATACAGAATATGTTTGCTTCCATGAGTTAACTGTGTCATGAAACAGAAATATGTGCCTGTGGTAAATGCATCTTAGGGATATCACAATGTAAAGGAAGAAATGTAGCCACTCACGCATTTTGTTTTTAAAAGCCCACGGATCCTAGAGCTGATTTATAACATAAAATTTCTCTGTTGTGAAAGAATTAGAACGATGGCTCAGTTTCTCATCTTCTGATAGATTCCCACCCCCCCCCCAAAAAATCTGTAGGCTTAAAAAAAAAAAAAAACCACACTCCGTGGTTGTGGTTTGGGAGGAAAGTGTTGTAAATCAGTGTGAGAAATTAGCCCACTTGTAGTAACACCACATTTATCTTGCTTTAAAATTCATGCTATTAATTGGAGCTTCACTTCATTTAGTAGAAATTAACTGATTTGAAGTACACTTCTCTGAGGTGCATTAGAAATTGAATTTGTAGGCAAATGAGTTTGTTCCAGGAGTTAAGTTTTCTATGAATATTCACTGAGCATAGTCAGGATTTCCTCTGAGTGTGTAAAGAATGTGAACAGACTCTAATCGGAGTAGCCGGGTGAGGCTTGTTTCCTACCGTGATATCCTCCCTTAAAGTAGTAGTACCTACAGAGTAATAATGGCTAGACGTTTTGAGTTAATGAGGGAGTAGTTTGTGAATTAGATTATTGCAGGATTGAACTCCAGTAAATATCCATGTAGACTATGAACCTGACATGAAGGTCCCACTTCATGTTTCATTTATTTTGGCTCAGCTGTTCATTGGTGCCAGTTCTCAGGTGACATCTTTAGGTGTGACCATCAGCATTGACCAGGATGACAACAGAACCAAGGAGTTTAGCAATGTCACAGTCCAGTGGGGATTCTTGGAGGAGCTTTTATGAAAAGTGTTATTTTTGGGGTTTTGTTTTCTTGGGTCTTTTTGCTCTATTGTGCTTTGGCTTATAAGTGGATATAGAGAAAAATAACACTCGAAACCAAAGTTTTCTCCCCTTTTGACCTATAGAAAGTATGGCATGAAAACTTTATAGACCTGTTTGAAGAAATACTGTTTTGAATCCATTTAGAGATAACGTGGAGAAGTGGAATCATAGGCCTCTAAAATTGCTTAAAAGCATCTCATCCCAACACTTTCTTTGCTCTAATGAAAAATAAAGTGTTGCTCAAATATTTTCACTGTAAGGAGCCAGTTTTTCTCTTTGATATTATCATTTGCATAGGCCTTTTCTAGGCCCTGGGAACATGTCCAGGCAAGAACTGTGATGTCAGTAGCGTCCATGTTCACTCGAGTTCTTATGTACATATTCCTGGGTTCTGACCAGTTTCACCTGTATCTTTTAGTCCTCTTTTCTATAGGCCATGTCTACATATCATTTGGATTATTTGGCAGATCATTAATTATATTGCTTACCTTTACAGTGGAGCGAGAATTTCTCCAAATGGTTGACATAGTCACGTTATCTTGACCCAATTAACTAAATTCATTAATGTCTATGATTAGATACATTCAATTGACTATTAGTGATAAGATTGCTTTTCATGACCATTTGAAAGTCAAGTAGAATTGATCCCTTTTAGATTTCAGATCAACTATTTTAAAAGATTTTGCCATATATTAATCCACTCTGATATGCAGACAGGAGAAAACCAAAGGTTTTACAAAGTGGAGCTCCTTGATGGTTTAATTCATAACTAACAAGTTTCTTTCCATGTGAAATTTGCTTTTCTTTTTCAACAAATCCAGGTCTTGGATGTTCAGGAAACTATAGATCGTCAACAGGGTAAAGAGTATGAAAATGACCTTAGTGAGACAGAAAAAGCTATAGTCAGAGAAATGTGCAATGTAAGTTTAATGTGCTTTATTGTGTATTCTGTGTTGAAAGCTCCATCGTAGCTTAGTTACCACTTTATGAATACCTACTTTTTTAAAATGCTGGCCAAATGCCTTTATATTTTTATGTGAAAATAAAACCAATTCCCCTTGTTTTTCAGTATATTTTAGTGCAGTTTTATTAACAGTCATAAAATATTCAGGTAAGCGATAATCAGCCAATTCTGTATTCCAGAATGATCTATGAACATTTTTAAAAATTTATTGTCTAAAATAATTGTGCTAGTTTTGAGAAATAGGTTTCTGTTTCATACTTTTAAGCAGTACCTAAAAATCAGTGTTTAAAAACCTGTGATAAAACACAGCCTTCTTCAGACTTATTTATAACCATACTTGTAAAAAAAAAAATAATGTGATATGGGAACTTCATGTCCTGCAAAGTAGTATCTTTACTACTTTGTATCTACTACTACTACTTTACTACTTAGTATCTTTACTACTACTACTTTTACTACTATTCTTATCCACTACTTTCAGTGGTGGATAAGAATAGACACCTAGAAATCAGAGAACAGAGTTAAAAAAAAAAATTTACATGCTGTTTTGATGCATATCAATAATGTGATTTGGATTTTATTATTAATCCCTAGCTAAATTTTGAGTAATTTGCATAGGTATATCATTTAATCAAGAATATAATTGAAGTTTGTTAAAAAGCTAAACAGAATATTGTAGGGGAATACATTAGTTAAAAGCAAAAATCAATCAGATTATATTAAGCACTGATTTTAATTGGCTCTATATTGTACTTTTATCCTCATTCTTTGTCCATTAGCCTATCAAAATTGCTCAGAAATGCTTTTAAGCTATTAGGGCCGGATATTCTCATGTATCTACTTCCTTGAGGTGTTCTTGGAATCCAGTAAATGTTTTAAGTACCCCTGGGCATTTTATATGTGCTGGGGCCACAGTTTTAGTCTCCTGCTTCTTTGTGTTGTAGCTGTTTTTCTTTTGAAATTCTTTCCAAGTTATTTTTCTTTCCTGCATATGTTTTCAAAAGGTCATTGGTTTAAGAAGTCATAATTTCCCCCAATGCACCACTCTTCACACCTTCTGTAGCTTTTCAGCCTGTCCTTAGCGTTTTCAATTTGAATATTTCCTTCAGATTAAAAAAGTTAAGCCACACACCTTAAAAAAAAAAAATTGCCTGTTGCTTCTCATCTGTTGACTATGGAATGAGAAATGAAGTTCAGACTTTAGGAATTCTAGAACTAGAAGGGAGCACAGCGATCATTCCGCAGGTGGTTCTCCTAATAGTACAACAGGATCCTTTGTAATTCAGATGGTGGAGTTTCACCACAGCCCCTAAGCAGGTTGGAGAGGAAGCTCTGGATATGATCTCCACATTTGCATTTTATGTTTGAAGAAGCTAAAATCCCAAAATAAAGTTGCTTGCTCGAATTGTTCTCTAATGAACAGTAAGTCAGGACTATACCCAGACGTCCTCGGAATACTAGCAATCACCACTTTCCCAAATGGGGTAAATCTGGGGACTTCTATTTTCTTTCCCCAAGAATGAAAAGCAATGCATCTTCCAAAAATGTGTGAAGTTCTGTAAAAATACAAGTCAGGATTGCTTGTTTTCTTGCCTTTTTGTTTTAGATATAAGACTTCTGGACATTAGAAAATTCATTTCTTAGTCACAGAAGAAACGTATTAATGGACTGGGTCTCGATTAGTTCGTGTTGATCTTTTTGTAGGCCTATATTTCCAAAAATGCTTCAAAAGACCATATGCAGTGGCAGTGGTGTTTTTCCCTGTAGAAGGTATTTTCAGGAAGCCAAGGCTTGCTCTCCTTGTTTGCCTTTAGCAGTTCTTTAGGGCTCCTTGTCTACTTTTGTCTTTGATTCCCCAAATTTGAGGAAAACATGCAAGCCAACACCAATCTGATGATTAGCACTCTTACATTTGGAAACTTGTTAAAAGCTAAGAGAAAAAGATGTTGATTTAAAATATTTTTGTCACCATTACAAATTATTTGAACATTGAACACACATAGTCCATACTGGAGAATAAAAGGAAAAACAGATTGTGAGAAATTTTCACAGATAATTTCTTAGAAACCAGCTAAGGTTGTTAAACCTAGTAGAGGAACTATGTGCTTTTATAATAATGTCACAGAAATGGAAAGTTTTCTTATAATGTGAGATCAGTTCGAAGACTCAGAACTTAGTAAGTTTTGCCTGTTTCTGGTGTTCTTCCTGGAGTTCAGTTGTCAACATCTATACAAGGAGTCACAGGAAGTGACTGTTAACATCATGTTGATTAGTAAGAGGTGCTTTTATTCTCTTCCCAAACTGTGCCACAAAAATAGATTTACAGTTTCTTAAAGTGCAGTATATTTCTTTTTGTAATAATGGTATTTTTTTTTTTTTTTTAGGTCTGTTTGGTTCTTGTAAATTCCCTGAGAACAGCTGAAATATTTGACTGGTGGACTCAGACACCCACCTTTTTTTTTAGTTAACAAGTCACTACTCTGTGTCTACCTTAGTATCACTAGCTCGTTTCAGAGTTCTGTCTTCTTGGACTCTTTCACCACATAGTAATTTCAGGGTTAAGGCCCATGGTATCCTACAATGGAATACTTGGACAGTGCTTGCAGTTTGGAGTTGTAACCATCTAATGCTTTGTGTCAGTGCTCCTGGAGGTCTTTGGCTTAGCAGCAGAGGATAGATTCAGACATTCAAAGCATTCTGGTCAGCTGTATTTGTATATACCATGTAAGGGCTAGAAAGGGTAAGTCCGTAGCATCCCTTGGCTCCCTGATTCAGTGTTTGTACCTTTTCACTGTCTATTAAGAAATGAGAATTTCCCTAACTCCCTTGTGGGCAGCTTGAGCCCTACATTGCTAGATCATTCCTTTCCTACTATTTAAAGACCATTAGTACACTCTTCTTCAAATAGGACAGGTCATTTCTGCCACATAGTTGTGTCCACAAGAAGATGAATGCCTTCATGGCTTAGGAGTGAAGGTAGACAGAACCTTATATTCTTATGTATAACAATGAATAGTATTGGGTGACCCTAGAGTATCTGCTCTATTTAAAATAAATGCAAAAAAAAAGTATCAATAATGAACCAACTGGTGTGTTCATGTTAGAGCTATGTAAATTTTTAGGGGAAGAATCAAAATAATCTTTATAGTGAATCACCCTAAGGAGGGTAATGACTGTTAATCGGGGGAAGGAGGGTGCATTTTCCAATTAGCATTAGCATATTGGTATATCATTGGTGAATTCCGTGGTTTTACTTTATATTCTTAATCTCATCTTTTGCTATTGTCCCTCTAAAATGACCCAATTTTTGCTATATTGTATCTACTTATTGATTCTTGAATGTATTAATATTTTTCCTGCATTTGGATGTTCTCTGCTTAATCTGAGATTTTATACTATTTGGTAGCTAAGATTTATGACTGAGGGCCCCCCACTCTATTGGGAAAGCCAGGGAAATTTACTAGTGGCCCTAAAGCTAGTAGTTCAGGGCTTAAATAGCTCAAGAACAAAAATTCCTTCCTTTTCCTTAGTGGATTAAACATTGTGGTATCCCTGGTTCAAGATGTAGGATATAGAAACCAGGATGATTTTGCTCATGTGTTCTTAATTCTGGCTATACAGAATTATAGTAGGAGCTTTAAAAAAAAAAAAATACAGATGACGATGCCTCCCCTCTACCAGTGCAGTCAGTCTGCGAGTGGGAGTTACTGTGTAAGCTTCAAGTGCACAGTGTACAGCTGGAGTTGAAGACCACTCATGAACTAGAGTAAGTTGGCACATCTTTCTTGATTTTTGACGCTGATTGCTGACAAAGCCTAGTAGTTCCCTCTACTGTGCAGCTCTTCTGAGTTAGAAACTTCCATCACATTTCACTGTGTTTGAGCTCATTCATGGAGGTATTTCGTCTCGTCTTCACATTCCTCTTTGCCCCTTCATAGATCCCCCTTTAAAAACCACAAATCTCTTTGTGGATGGGGCAATTAAGATGCTTATTTTTATTTATTTATGTATTTTACTTTTCTTAAGGTTGTGTGGAGGAAACTTGGAGATGCTGCAGGTTCCTGTCCTGGAATTAGGCAACATTTGTCTGGAAACCAGTACAAAGGACCAATGTGAAAGGCACTCTTTCAAACAAGAGATCACCACTGCCAGAGAGAGATAAAAGAAGAAAAAAAACTTGGACTCACTGAATAACCTGGAGTGATTGTGTATTGAACATATTTTCCCTCTAAAACCTTTAGTATTACTGATGCTGTACTTCACGTCTCTCATTTCCATGTCCACAACAGCTCATCTCACGTCAATTTCAAACAGCTTTGAAAATCACCATTTGGGTACCACTATTTTCATTAGAACTAAAATGTTTTTGACTCCTCAGATTTAAGCTTGTCCCTGGGAAACAGGCATGATTGGAAAAATCCAGTAGGGCCTCAGTAGGTTTGAAGGAGTTGACTCATTGCACAGAATGGTGGGACTTTTCTAGCATGCTGTGTTGAGGAAGAGGGGTCTTCTAGCTTTCCAAGTTTGGGAGTTGGGCACCTACTTCTTATAGTCAACGAATTCCTGATGCATAGTGAATTTGGATATAAGATAAGCTTAGGTTTCTGGGATTTTGTTTTGACTGTTGAGGTGCTAAAAATACCACATAAATTCTCTTTACCAGCTAGAAGGGTAGCAAGACTTTGTAGAGTGCTTATCAGAGAGTACCATTTATTTCAAGTGATCAAGATAAATAGAGCTTTTCTTTTAATCTTGCTATATTCATGAAGACACATCGTGGGGACATACCAACTTCCATATTCATTCAGTGTATCCATTGATGTTATTAATTCCAGTTAAAGAACAAGCAAACATAATTTTCCTAAGTGTTTCCAGCTGTGAGATGTCAATTTCTACAATTTAGTTTCTAGATCTGCTGTTATATTTAATAAACTTTATGTAAACTTTAAAATATTGCACTGCATTTATGAAAAAAGCTTTCTTTGCCTCCAGCAGCTAACGTTTTATGAAACTGACGCATGTCCTTCATTGTTGAGGCTAAAAGCTCTTCAGATTGCTTGAGGTTTGAAAAAGAGGTGTGCTAGCTTTGCTTAGTTTATTTTTGGTATATATATATATACACATATTAGACTGTATTGGAAATGCTATGATAGGTATTTTGTGTTTTTTTTCAAATGCAATGATAGTTTCTTGTATGAATGTGCAAGAGGCCTGTGCCAGAATGCTAAGTTTTTATTGTAGTTTAAAATTATAAAAGTAGGAATGCAACAATTCCCAGTTTTTAGATTTCTTCTAAATTACTCATATTGGATTCATAGCAGATATTCATTGTTGCTGTTGTTTTTAAATGGACTCATTACAGTGTGTTACTGGTGAAAGAACGTGAAGGACTTTCGTTATACTTTTTAAAATGTTACTGTGATGAAAAAGCCCTGTTTTCAGAAAATATTTATGAATTAATTTACTATAGAATTATCTCTAATTATTGTAATTGGCTTACCAGTTAAGCTTATCTTTCTTTTTGAAATGTTTTATTATTACTCTGTAAAAGAAAATTGCCTGCTATATTTACACCTTCTCTTGTAGAAAAGCTTTCATCCTTAAATTGTTGTATTCCTACGCTCTGAAGACATTTAAACCAAGTTTTTGTGCCTGCAGTAGATACTGCAGAAGCTAATACAAGGAACAGTGGTCTTTTGACAATACTTGTGTAAATTTTGATACTGTATTAAAACTATTTTTTTAAAGTTCTGCATAAAATTGAGTATCAAGTATATGTGTTCATCTTAGCAATGGTAATAAATTATTATGTTTTTCCTTCAAAATGTTTTTCCTACAGTGTATAGATTTCTAATAGTCACTAAGTAGCACAATGTTTCTGTATGGTGGTATTAATGATGGTAATACAGATGACTATCTTAAATATAAAACAAAGGACTCTTTCAAAATATGCTAATGAGGGATTTAATATTCATGTTACTCAATTCACACAGTTCTGTTATAATGCAGTTAAAAATTTAGAATCGTATTTAAGAATATTTAAATATCAGTTATAAAATCTTTCACTTCATACACATTAAAATTAATTACCGTTAGGGGCGCCTGGGTGGCTCAGTTGGTTAAGCAACTGCCTTCGGCTCGGGTCATGATCCTGGAGTCTTGGGATTGAGTCCTGCATCGGGCTCCCTGCTCAGCGGGGAGTCCGCTTCTCCCTCTCCCGCTGTCCGCTCTTATGTACTCTCTCATATTCTCTCAAATAAATAAAAATCTTTTAAAAAAATTACCGTTAAAGCAGTCAATAAGAGGAAATATACTAGGGGGAAATACTGCAGACTGGAAAATTTGTCCTCTATACTTAAGAAACATATACGTATATGGCCAAGATATAAATTGGCAAATGCACACATACACATGCTCAGATAGAGAACACACCTATTTCTGGGAAACCACTAAGAAGACAGGAGTAAGGCTTCCTACACTGAGCATTAGCCTCAACTTTGAGTCCATGGCCTGAATCGTACTATTACCTAACATGTTTATCAATAAAAATATGTGGCATCATTCTCTTATGTGACCAGTTTATGATCTCCTTTTCTCTGGAACAGAGGTTAATTTATACATTTTGGCAGAATATTTTTACCAGCCTTGAAGCTGACAGACTGACAATCATAATCTAAGCTTTTCAAATAAATGCCTTTTAAGTTTCTAGCACATGCTCAAGGCATAATGGAAAATTCAGATAGGATGTGACATCCAGAAATACATCATTGGATGTGAGCGTGTCATGCATCACATTGGCTGGAGCCAACAAAGTATGCTTTATTAAGTACAGCACTGAATAAAGGCTCTTTGGCTTTAGCAAAGCAGACTTGGGGCCAGCAAGTTCAGCATTCACTCTATAATAAACTCTGTGAGTTCAAACAACCTAACCTTGCTGAGCCTCTGTGTCCTGACATGCTGAAAGGTGAGAACATCTATCTCATTGCCTCGTCGTAAGGTTCCTTAGAGTCTCCACAATTCCAAAGCTCATGGTCTTGACAGTCCACAAGGAACAATGATAAGTCTTCCAAGACATAGGAGACCAGACCCATGAACTGCGGCAATGTCATACCATTAGGCTAGGAGAAGGAACCACATCAACACAAAAGGTCTATTAACCACATAATGAGATTCTAGCTGCACAGTTCAACTTTCAAGCTCTGTTTTCTGTAGATCATCCAGCCTATATATCCTCAGGCCTTATCCTGGCCAATCCCAGATGGTAATGATGGAAATGGAGAGAATAAAAGGGATAATGGTCTTGATTCTCATAGGAACAATATGTTTGAAAAACAAAATTTCCACAACTATTTAATTCTGTAATTTTCATATCACTGAAAACATTTGAGAATAAAGACATTCACATAAAAATGGTAAAATATCTGCGATAGCTCCCTCCTCTGGCCTTAAGCTCCAAACATGGTAGAAGAGCTATTTAATTTATAATCCCACTAGAACATAATAGCGTACTCTGTGAACCAGCAATTAAGGGGAATTCTTGAGAAATGGAAGACAAAGAGTATCTGGTTGAAACAATGGCTTCATCATTCAAAGCACGTGATGGAGGGTATTGTTGACAACAGAATGGCTGCAAGCGTACTCCAAATCAGGCAGAATTTGAACCTGCATTGCATGGGCTTCTGGGGCAACTGACAGTAAACATTTTAACTCCTGCATATAATCTCTCCCTCCTTGGGTCAGACAGAGAACAAAGGATAATTTGTCCTAGGCCAGAGCAGAGAGTAAGGATACTTGAATTGGAGGCACAGGGCAAAGTCTTCCACTTTTTAAATACCCAGAGGAAAAAGGACCCTCTGTGCCCAGAGCATTAGTACTGACACAGCCTACCTAGAAGTTTGTCCCACCATGCCCCTTACACCTAGCGTCAGGTATCTCCCAAACACAGCATCCTGACCCATTTCTTCCAGCAAGTTGTGTGGTAAACACAGCAGGTTAATGAGGAAATATCCATACTAAGATGGGTATACAACCAAGTATCACCCAACATTGGAGGGAAGCCATGACTATGAATCAGAAGCACACAACTTAATGAATCCAAGGAAAAGAATTAAAATTAAGAGATTTTCAGAAGTATAACCAGTATTCTCAAAGAGGATAAATATTGCATTCATTATAAAGAATTTCACATCTTGAGAATAAAATGTTAGTGTGAAAAACTCAATACATTGGCCATATAGCAGAAAGGACACTGCTGAGAGCAATTTAGCAGGCTTGAAGCCAAGAAATTGTGCCAGAATTTAGCGGAAGATTTTTAAAAGTCTTGAATGTTAAGAGTTAAGAGAAGGCTAAGAGAAAGTTAAGAGAAGTGTCTACTATTGTTCCCATAGTGCTTTCTCTTACTTCTTATACCATCTTCCTTCATTCTTCCATCCTTCTCTTCATAGTTGTTTTTTTATTTGCCTTATTTTAAGTTTTAATGTCAAAGGCTATCTCAAAACCATTGGAAGTAATAAAACACACGTGCAGTACAGTCTCGTTTCATTGAGATTCAAGACTGTTGAATCACAGATCTGTACCTCTGAAACAATGCAATATATGTTTAAAAAAAAAAAGTAGCAAGAGGGGAAGAATGAAGGGGGGGAAATCGGAGGGGGAGACGAACCATGAGAGATGATGGACTCTGAGAAACAAACTGAGAGTTCTAGAGGGGAGGGGGGTGGGGGGAGGGGTCACGTTCTGCATGGAGCACTGGGTGTTATACACAAACAATGAATCATGGAACACTACATCAAAAACTAATGATGTAATGTATGGTGATTAACATAACAATAAAAAATTTGAAAAAAACCAACCAAACAAAAAGAATGTCCCTTTAAAACACAAGATCCTCTCATTTTTACAATAGGGTTTTTCCATAGTTTTCATGCCCAAGATATAATTCCATCTGGTCTCATTACCAAGAAGAATTTCCCTTTCCCATCATAGGACCCTTAGTTTTCTAGAACCTGTCCTGAAGCGATAGCATACAATATATATCATAATGTCCATGGCAACAGATTCATATGCCAATCAGGAAAGCAATTTATAGAAGCAGAAAGTGTCTGAAATTGGCCTTTGATTCTATGGACTCATTGTTGGGTTTGGGCCAAGCTGCATGATCTTACCATGGCATTTCAGATAGGCCTTATTAAAAAAAAAAAATCTGTTTTCCCTTTGTAGCAATCTAGCTTAGGTGGGAATGGGTTTCTGACAGACCAAGTAACAGTCTCTAGGGTTTGTTTTCTTTTTAACCATCACCATTCCCCAGGCTCAGTCTAGTCCTTGTATTAAAAAGATACACACACACACGCGCACACACGCACACACATTGATTGGTTACCCAGGATTCATTTTTCTTTTCCTCCTAAAAGAGCCTTCCTTTGCTTTAGAAACATACCCCTCCTCTACACTGTTCAGGTAAATCCAGAGAAGCAATTTCCAGTTCCGGAGCTGAATCTTGATTAATGCCTAGACTCAAAGCTGGTCTTGGTAATCTCATTCTACATGTTAATAATTGGCTCAAGAAGCCAGTCTTAAGCCAATCAACACATGGCATTCCTATAGTCCATTTGTGGCAATAAGACCTAACAAGGCTCATTTCAATTTAAACTCTTGGAAGAAATTTTATTGGATGGGTAGGGGAGAGGTTTTTTCCTGTCTAGTGTTGGATGTGCTAAGAGTTTTCTGTTGCCTGTAATCATGTGGGCTATCATTAGAAAAGTCATCCTGAAGAGAAAGCCTACATGAAAATGTAGAGCCAAGAGAATAGTGGAGAAAGGTGGCTGAAACACCCATTATTGTCTGGAGTCCACTCTGATTCTGGACTCTCAAATAGATTAAATTTTTCTATATTGTCTTAAACTAGTTTGATTTAGTGTTCTGTTACAGACTGCCCAAAATCTTATTCAAAATTTTACACTGTATATGCCATGACTTGGATATATGGTCTCCTAATACAGCAAATTGGAGGATACAACAATAGCTTAGTTTTATTGAAATAAACAGTGTGTCTAAACAAGCGATTCCTTTACTGTCACAAAAAAAGAGGTTCTATATTCTCTTTATGTGATAGAATAAAAAGAAATTAGCAAGTAGGGCTTCACAGCCTCCTCATTCCTCAGCCTTATTTTCCATCTCTTTTGCCACTCTTCTCCTGACCCCTGCCATTCTCCAATCCATCTGGGAAACAAGGTAAAAACAGTGCTAAGGCAAAATCTCAATAGTAAGGGAAGACTGCACAGCCTTCTTCTATATCATGACTTTTGTGAGATGCTTGATCATCGTCTATTTGGTGAGGGTATCCATACATAGTACTCAGCTTCTCTAATCCCCTAATAGGAGCAGCCTGGTTTGCACAACAAGGGAAAGCTTGAGTTAGGCCAGATACAGTGTCCACACAAACCAAGACACATTTATAACCCTCACTCAGAGGAAAGAGAGTCAATATAATCAATCTCCCGATCCTTCACCAGTTGGGAACTCAGGTGGATGGACTCAGATTCTTTTGGTAGTTGCCTTGAGCATCATTTAGAACACACTGGATGTGGTGTTAGTCCATTAGCCAAGTCAGTGTATTTCAAGGGTAATCTGGCATCTTTTGGCAATATGCCATCCCATCCAGCTGCTATGGTGGACATTTTGCTATATACCCAGTCTGCTCTATCTACTGAAGCGTCAGTTGCTAGGGCTTATACCTGGGCTAGGGCATCAGCTTCCTGACTGCCAAGAAGTGTCAGTGCCTTATGAACCAGGACATGGAAGGCAGTGAG